GTAGAAGCAGTAAAAGCGGGAAGTTGTTCCAAGAGAAAGTGCAGCGGAGTGTGGAAGTTTTTCTTAGAAAAATCGGAAATTAATTATATTGGCTTATAATTCCCCAACAAGTTAATATCGCTACCCTTAAATAAGAAAACAACCTTAGCTATTGGCATAAGTGTAGGAAATATGCCCAAAGACATTAAAAGATTAAATATAAATGTGAGTAGTGTAGCCAAAAGGTCAATAACAAATTTAATTGGTTTAATATTCAAGTCATTTACATCGTCTCCTTTTCTGTTTTTTATGCTTCGAAACGCCAGCATTACCTCATTTTCGTCAGTTGGGCTTAAAAAAAAAAAAAGAATGCGCGTGTGCTTTAATATGACAGCATGGGTCTTCACTATTTGTTATATTAGGGGTGCCAGTGGTTGAGTTTACCAAGTAATGGTTGAAGGCATTTGCGATAGACGTGCCAGATAGCTTTTGTCCGCAGTGAACAATTTCTTTTAAAGTGTCTTTGTGATCGTGAGGTTTTAATACCCGGTTAATATTTTCCCAAAGTTTATCTGTCTCATTTTTTCTAATGTTATCACATAGATTGCAATAATATTCTTGCTTGGCCTTTTCGATCAACTGATTCAGTTTGTTTCTATATTTTTTGAATTCTACTAAATTATGATTGTTTTTAGAATTTATAAATTTATGATATAAGCTATTTTTACACAATCGTTTTAGATAAATCATGGGAAACCCATGGCTTTTTTGCTTTCTTGCTAGGCTTTATGTACTTATAAGGAAAGCATTTGTTATAAATGTCTTCCAATGTTTCCAGAAATGCTTCATATGCTGCATCAGGTAAATTATTGGCATAAACAAAGTCCCAATTAACGGTACCAATAGAGTCCCTAAATGACAGCAATCTTTGCGACGTAATGTTACGAGCTCTAAATCCTTCTGATTTCTGTTTGCGAGCGGTGAATTGTGCGTTAACAAGAAGAAAGATGGGTAAATGATTACTAATGCTGCAGCTAATTAAACCTGATGCATAAATATCTTCCTTGTTGCGGTTTGTAATGAAGTAATCAAGTAAGGTACAGCCATCTTCTGTTATTCTCGTTCCATCCGTAGTAACACATTCAAAACCATTTGACTCGACTGCAGAAAATAGATCATCATGCATAGTTGATGTTTTTAAGAGATCAATATTAAAATCACCTCCCAAGAAAAATATATAATTATTGTCATTAACATAGCTGAATGGTTTATCAAGTGCAGGAAGCAGTATGTTAACATTTTCAGAGGGAGGTCGATATAGCACACTGAAAAAGTAGTTATCAGAAAGTACTAACAATAATTCGAAAGAGTCATTTAGTTCTGTAAAATCGGGAATAATGCAACAATTAAAAAAAATGATTCCACAAGCATTGAAACCCCTCCCCGTCTTCTAGCATTTTTCTATACGAAGAAATGCTAGAAGACGGGGAGGGGTTTCAATGCTTGTGGAATCATTTTTGTTACGAAGAAATGCTTACTATACGAAGAAATGCTTGTGGAAGCATTTCTTCGTATAGAAAAATGCTTGTAATTAGGCAAGACAAAGTCATTTGAATCAGGAGTATACCACGTTTCAGAGAACATGAGTACGCTAAAAGAAAAACGCAAGGTATCAAGAAGAATTTCAATGTCATCAACTTTCGATAGCATGGAACGTACATTCATGTGAAAAAATGATAACACAAATTGTTTAACGTCACTTATAGCATTGATAAACTCTTCAGGCTGAACGCATAAATTAGATAATGGTGTACTTTCCATTAAAAAAAAATAAGTTTGAAGCTGCACGTTCTTTTCCACTTTATCGAGTCTATTCAAGGTCGCCTTCGCTTTTAATTGTAACTGTACGATCGCCCGCAGCTTTTCGTACGAACATTATCGGCACACCAACGTCGCGCGTTTACGTAAAGCAACAACAAAAAAAAAAAAGGTGTTAGTTTTAGTTGCAGTATAAGCGAACATCGGCGCAATTGAAATATAAATATAATTACTTGCATTAGGCGGACGATCTGAAATCGATGAACCGGCGCTCCCAGCCTTCCGGAAACATTGGCTGCCAAGGCTGAAACGCTAGGCGTGCCCACGCCGCCGATCTGTACGTTCAATATCAAACGGGCTCCGGAAAGCCGTTTGACTAAACCAGTACAGTTCGCAACATGGTCAGCGGTTTGAGCGAACGTGCGACAACTTTGCCCAAACGAGTCGCCCATTTGCCAAGACGAGCGACCCATTTGCCCAGACGAGCGACCCGTTTGCCAAAGGAGTGACCTGTTTGTCCAAATAGGTGACCGTTATGGCTCATACGGGCGGCCCCTTTGACAAACTGGTGACCGGTATGGTTAAACTGTTACCGGTATGGACCCGTTTATTTTCATATAGGCGCCAAATGTTTGTTTTTTTTCAGTAGGGGGATCGTCAGCCTCTAAGCGGATCCGAGCGTTCTCTACCGCAAAACGGATGGAATCGAGCGGTTGAGGCGCGTTTTTGCCAACCAAATTGGAACCGATTTCTTCCAGCCGCTTTTGCGAACCACGAAGCGGCAGTCAATTGCAACGGGAAGCGGACGTGACGTCGGTGACTTTCAAAACAAGGTGGCCTCTGTCGCTGGTGAAGCGTCAAAGGCGCTGCAGTCCTAACGTTGCAGCACACAAATCCACAAAAAAAAAAAACAATATGTTCGCGTCCTTCACATCCAAACGCTGCGAAAATAATTGACTGGCAATTTTAACGCGTTTCTTTTCGGTGGTTTGGTTCGGTAAGCTAGTTTATTTATTATTCGGGGTACCAAAACTCGTCGCTGCTGTGCCCTGTTATTCATTGCCAGTAGAACATCAGAGCCCGCCCCCCGATCGGCAAAAATGACAGCTCTTGTACCAACTAAGGGAGTCGAGTGAACTACTAAAAGATTTCGACACCGTGCATGAGCGACAGGAAGGTCGATAGAGACGTCGGGAGCCTAATTGCATAACAAAAACACTGCGTTGGAACTTACCGGGTTACTGCGATAGCTCGACCTGTAGCGTTTCTGCAACCAAAGGGAACAAAGGGAACGAGTTCAGGAAATAAAGTGAGCGCACCAAACGATACAAAAGGAAATCAAGCCGTATTTATTCGAGCCTAATATCAAACGAAGCGCAGGGTCGTTCGACGTGTTAGTGAGGTAGGGGAGAGTACGCCACCAGCGAAGCCACGACCGTTAGCACCGAACACGCTACCAGCATCACGGTCCACAGGTGACGCTCACTACTCCGAAAATGATAAGAACGAAGAAGGCGGGGAGAAAGCTGGGAATTCCTATCCCTAAAACAAGGTTACCTATTCATGCGGGAAGGATCCACCTCGAAGAAAGGTTCGGGGGCATCCTCTAGTCACCATGGCGCACCAACCTGGGTTTTGTTTTTGTGCGCAGTCGAGTTAATCGCAGACAGGTTGGGCGGGTCCATTTAGTTTGTTTTCGCTGCCTGAACTCGTGATGCGGGCGAACATCCTAAAAAACACGTTCAGCGTCAAAATGGCTATATTTAGGCTTTGTATTGTAGATTAAGCTGAACTTCGGTTTATAAAATAACCTTGCCAAACGCAAGTCTCAAAAGATCGAGCGCGCTCTCCAAGAAACCGCCAACCGTAGTTCGGGGTTTCTGAACTGGGCCAATCGCCAACCGTACTCGGAACCTCTTCGCAAACGCCGCTCGAAATTCGCAGCTACTGTAAAGCGAATTTTGGGCTACGCATTGTGATTTGTGCACTTTTTTCGAATTCTTCTTTTGAAAAGAAGTTTTCGGAGAGCACTGTTGAGAACAACTATGCATTTTTTAAGGAAAGGTTTTATAGTCTTGTTGAAGAGTTCATTCCTCTAGAGACGATCGTTGTTAGTACTAGTCTACCATGGTTCAATAAAGTACTCCTACGACTTTCAGACTGAACAAAACGCCTATTTAAATTGCCAAAGGTACTCTCTGTCCGGTTCATTGGCAGAAATATTCAAATGCTTCATAATGTTATAAGAATGTGATTAGGAACGGAAATGATACGTTTATTTAGTCAAGTGCTGCCATCGATACTTCGAAGTTCTCCTCGGCAATTTCGGAATGTTATGTCTCGCCGCGACTTGACACACTGCGACGTCACTTAAGACAAGATATCAAGCTCAGATTGAGGAATTTCTATGAGGTGCAATTTTTTTTATAAAGCGTTCATTATCTCCGTTTCTAACCCTTTCAGCAACACTCTTCCGAGGTATCGATTCGAGTATGCCAACATCGAAGTCACGACCGCAAGCACCGAGCACGCTACCAGCACCACAGTCCACCGGTGGCGCTCACTACTTAGAAAGTTATAAGAGGGAATAACGCGGGAAGAAAGATGGCCCCCTATTCCCGAAACAACCATGTAATAGTTTATCCTAATGGAGTTTCAAAACTTAAATTAGCTTAAGCTGTTTTCGGCTACTTGTAATGTGAAATGACCTCTATTTGTTTTTTTTTGTTTTTTTTTAAATAACTAATCAGCACGTCCTCCTCTCTTCGCTTTTATACGATTTTTCAACCCTCACTCGACACTGGATTACCACCTGAAGATTGGAAAATTCGGTAAACAATTTCTCTGCGCAAGTCTGTTGACAGAACCCCCCTCCCCAACATTCCCTTCATATATCCCTAACAAAAAAGTTAAATATATAAAGACTGTTGTGTCATCATGTCCGAATCGAATGTCATGTGTCGGTTAACTGTGACGTCACTCTTTAACCTATAGATAGCGCGGCTGCTATCACTATAAAAGCAGCCATGAGTGTGCCTACGGGTTTGTTGTATTCTTGGCATCATCGAATAAACATGCAAGCTGCAGAAACTGAGTACTTCCCGAGAGGTTAAAACGGTGGCGACGAGTATGAGATAGCCGAGAAGACAGAAGCCAGCACTGTCATCGGCAAAAACCCAAGCGCCTTGACCGAGGACCACGGGATGGCTTCGTGCGGCGGCCGGTTCGAGCAGTTCATCGAAGATGGGGAGAAAGACTTCGAGTCGTACGTCGAGCGGATGGAACACTATCTTCGAGCAACGAAGGTGAGCGAAGACTTGAAAGTCTCGGTCTTCGTAACGGCCATCGGGAAGCAAGCGTACCGCACGTTGAAGACGCTGTTAACACCAGTGAAGCCAGAACAAAAGGACTATGCGCATCTGGTCGCGGTCCTCAGGGAGCATTACGCTCCGAAGCCGATGGTAATCGCCGAGCGATTCAGATTCAACCGGAGGGCCCAGCTCGAGAAGGAAACGATGGCGACATACACGGTTGAGTTAAAAAGGCTCGCGGCCACCTGCGAGTTCGGGCAGTTCCTGGATGAAGCACTCCGGGACCGTTTTGTCGCGGGGCTAAAGGACCAGGCAGCCCAAGCAGAGCTTCTAAAAAAGAAAACTCTAACTTTTTCGGCGGCATGCGACATTGCCAGAAGCATTGAACTCGCACGAGCAGAGACCAAGATATTTCAGCCAGCAGCCTCTAAACAACTAGAGGTGAACGCCGTCCAACGTCTAGGCCCAAACAGGAACGTCGGAGCGGCTACCAGGAAGGCGACGATGGAAGTCAACACTGAGAGGCCCGAGGCGTCAGGCTGTTTCCGCTGCGGAGCACCCCATCACGCGTCAAGTTGCCCGTTTCGGAAGTACAAGTGCCGAGCGTGTAGATGAGTGGGACACTTGGCAAGGGCCTGCAAAGCAACGTCCCGTTTGGTGCAAGCCGTGGACGACAGTAGTGGTGAGGAAAAAGTTTGGCTGTACAACATTGGCTCCTGCAGTGCTAAAAAAGGGGGTTACACTACTGAAGTTCGAGTGGCGGGAACAATGATGACAATGCAAGTTGATACAGGAGCCTCGGTTTCCATTGTGCCTGAAGAGGTGTATAAGCAGTACTGGCCTGGATTGTCTCTCTCAAACTGCCGCCTAAAGTTGAAAACTTATGGGGGCGTGCCTTTGGAGGTATTAGGCAAGTTGATTGTACCTGTGGAGCACAATGGGCAGACCATGACGTTGTCGCTTGTAGTGGTTCGCACGCCGCAGAAATGCGACACTGTGTTAATGGGCCGCGATTGGCTAGAAGCGTTGAGGCTAGACTGGATGAGCGTGTATGGGGTTAGTCTAGACCAAGTGGCAGGGCTGGTTGACCGATTCTCGCAGGTGTTTGAGCCTGAGCTGGGATTAATCGCGGGCAGTCAAGTTAAATTAGTATTGAAGGACGACACGACCCCAGTCTTTTGTAAACATAGAACTGTACCATTCGCTTTAAGAGAGTCAGTAGAACAAGAGTTGCATGCGCTCGTGAAAACGGGACTCCTGGTCCCTGTTCAGCAGAGTGAGTGGGCAACACCGTTGGTCGTTGTCCCTAAGCCGAACAACAAAGTGAGGTTGTGCGGCGACTATAAAGTGACGCTGAACCCGAATCTCAGAACAGACCACTATCCCTTGCCGGTAATGGAAGACGTGTTTGCAACGCTACACGGGTGCAAATATTTCACGGTACTTGATCTTTCTACAGCGTACCAGCAGCTGCAACTGCACCCGGATTCGCAGTCTCTTGTAACTGTAAACACGCATATGGGCTTGTTTAAGTATACACGCCTTCCATACGGCACCACGAGTGCACCGTCTATTTTTCAGGCTGTAATGGACGAAATATTGAAGGGCCTTGACAGAGTATCATGCTATCTTGACGATGTGTTGATAGCCGGAGAAACTTCGGAAGAATGTTATCGAAAAGTGGAAAGCGTGCTGACAAGGTTCAAAAAGCGCGGTATCAAAGTAAAAAAAGAAAAATGCAAGTTTCTTCAGACGTCGGTGGCTTACTTGGGCCACGTAATTGATAAACATGGGATTCGGCCTTCCGAGGAAAACCTACGCGCGATCAAAGAGGCGCCAAAACCCCAGAACAAACAAGAGCTGAGAGCGTACCTGGGGCTGCTAAATTTCTACGGGAAATTTGTTCCGAACATGTCAGCAGAGCTGAAGCCACTTCACCAGTTACTAAGTGACAGCACCAGTTGGGATTGGACCGTAGTGGAAGAAAAAGTGTTTCAAGAAACAAAACGGTGGCTGACGCACGAACGAGTGTTGCCTTAATACGATCCTGAAAAGGACCTCGGTCTTGTATGTGACGCGTCGGCATACGGCGTCGGCGCGATACTCTTTCATAAAGTTGGTACTGAGGAGAGGCCCATCGCTTTCGCGTCTAGGACGCTCTGCAAGGCGGAGCAAGGCTACGCGCACATTGAAAAAGAGGCGCTTGCAGTGGTTTTTGGTTTAAAAAAATTTCACAAGTTCCTCTTCGGCCGAAAATTTTGCATCTACTCTGACCATCAACCACTGGAGGGAATTCTGGGGCATGGTAAGCCGATTCCTGCAATGTCAGCAGCACGCGTGCAGCGCTGGGCCTTACTGCTTGCCGCTTATAACTATGTTTGGGTGTATCGAAAATCCAGTGATATAGAAAATGCCGACGCGCTTTCACGGCTACCGCTGCCAAACAAAGATGAGTCAGAGTGCGTGCAGTTCTTTTCGGCGCTAGACGAAGCTCCACAATCTGCAAAAGAGATAAGACGGGAAACGCGAAGGGATCAGTTGTTGTCGAAAGTGCTGTTCTACACACAAAACGGCTGGCCTTCGAAAGTTACAGAAGATTTGCTAGCGCCTTACTATGTTCGACGTAACGAACTGTCAGTCGATCAAGATTGTGTAACTTGGGGTAATCGCGTAGTGGTTCCGTTGTCACTCAGAAGTAGCGTCTTGACGATGCTGCACGAAGGTCATCCGGGGATGACGCGAATGAAAATGTTGTCCAGGTGCCACGTTTGGTGGCCTCGTCTAACACAAGATGTAGAGCAAACAGTGAAACAGTGCGTCACGTGTCAGCTGTCGCAAAACGCTGCGCCCAAGGTACCCTTGTTGTCGTGGGGTTGGCCTAAGCGTAGATGGGAGAGAGTGCATATAGACTATGCGTATCGCGATCAGCAATGATTTCTTCTGCTGGTGGACGCCCATTCTAAATGGATTGAAGTGTTTGTGATGAACAGTACTAGTAGTGAGAAGACCGTGGAAAAAACTGCGCAGTGTGTTTGCGGCATACGGGCTACCGGAAGAGGTAGTGACCGATAATGGGCCTCAATTCACATCAGCAGATTTCGAACTCTTTTTGAGTAGGAATGGCGTCCTACACAGCAAGTCTCCGCCCTACCATCCCGCCTCCAATGGCAGCGCGGACCGCTGCGTACAAACCGTGAAAAAGGCTTTGTTTAAACAAGTGCTGGACGAGCAGAGAAGCGGCCATGCGAAGTCTCTGCAACATCGCGTCGATCAGTTCCTATTCAGTTACAGAAACACACCCACCGGGACAACCGATGAAACTCCGGCCCAGCTGTTCCTGTCCTGGAGGCCCAGAACAAGACTGAGTCTGCTGCACCCCGACATAGAGCAACGAATGAAAAAGAGACTCGAGCGAACCAAAGAATACGCAGACCAGCACCGGGGGCCCTGGAGAGAGTTCTCTGAGGGTGACCAAGTTATGATAAAAGGCTTACGGGCCGGAGATTTCAAATGGCTGACGGGCACAATAAGCAAGCGTGTGAGCCCAGCTACGTATCTGGTTTGGGTTGGGAGGGAAGAGCGGTACATTCATGCTGACAACCTGCGGCCAAGATCATTTCAGGCTGACCTGAGGACACCTAACCGACTGGAGCAGTTTTCGGACATCGAGACCGATACGGCTACAACTGACAATGAATCACCAGACGACCATGACCCGGCACAACGGAGCCGCGACACCACGGGCACCTGACCCAGGCCGCAGCATGCCCAGTGCTGTGACTGTTGGTCCCAATGCCCCACCATCGGACAACCGGGCCTCCAGACTGGAAGCTCCGCCGGCTTCTCCACTCTTGCCTCGGCGCAGCACACGGCCAAGCCGACCAACAGAGAGCTACAAGCCGTAGACTCCACAAACTTTCTAAAGGGGAAGGAATGTTGTGTCATCATGTCCGAATCGAATGTCATGTGTCGGTTAACTGTGACGTCACTCTTTAACCTATAGTTAGCGCGGCTGCTATCAGTATATAAAAGCAGCCATGAGTGTGCCTACGGGTTTGTTGTATTCTTGGCATCATCGAATAAACATGCAAGCTGCAGAAACTGAGTACTTCCCGAGAGGTTAAAACAAGGACTTTATTCGTCCAATAACTGCATAGATCAAATAAGATCTTATAAGGGCATAGAAGAGCCACATACGAATATATACGAGCAATATACGATTATATAAGAAGTCATGTAAAATTATAAGAAGTTTTTATAACTTTTTATATAATCGTATATTGCTCTTATATGTGCATATATAGTTATTTTATGTTTTTATAAGATCTTATTTGATAATTTTCTTTTATTGGACAAGCAATTTCTTACACACACATATATATATATATATATTTGTTTTTTCTAGGGATCTCTGTAAGTACCATTCCTTCTAAAATTTTTGAGCGCATTCTATACCCGCTATTTCTTAATTTCCTTTATTCGATCTCGTTCTTCTTATCAGCCTAACACGGGTTGAGAAAGATGTTTTCTTGTGAAACACAGCTACTCTTCATTACTAAATCGATTCTCATGTTGCTGTCTACCAGGGATCTCACGTGGACTGTATTTTTCTTGTTTTTTCTGAAGCATTTGATAAATGATCAAACGCTTTGAAAAAAATCATAAATTAAGTAAACTTAACATCGACCCCTACGTATTTATTTGGCTGGTAGCATTCCTAACGAATCATTCGCCGTTTGTAGCCTGTAGTTGCGTTAATTCTACTCTGACATCTGTTTCTTCTGGAGTACCACAAGGGTCTCTGTTACGTCCTTTACTTTTGGTAATATCATTAACGATCTGCCCAGTGTTGTCTTTTCTTCCTTAAGATTATTTGCCGATGACTGCGCTACCTCACGTATAATATGTAACGACTCTGATTCCCAACAATTGCACATTAATTTTGACTGTATTCTTTTGATGGTTCGAATTTTGGTTATTGGAGCTCAACATAAGAAGTGTAAACTGATGCACATAAACGGTAAAGTGGCTTTTAATACTACCCGGTAATTAAAGGAGACGGCAGGCTCTTTAAATCAACCGGAAAATTCAGTTTCCTAACCTATCGCGCTACGATTTTGTGCAGCGTTGCCCACAGATGGTGCATTTTTTTTGTAAAATTTGCAAAGAGCGAACTTACCTGAGGAAAACGTAAAGAAAGAAAAAGGCTTAGCTCCTATGAAAACGCAGCGACGCCACCGGTTTTCAAACAGCATGGCGCAGTTTTGCACGGGACACAAGAGATGGCGCAACGAACGCCGCCAACGAACGAGCATACGGCGCCGAGAGCCAGCGTTTTTAGCAGACAATCTTTTCGACTCAAAAGCGGAGCGCGTTCAGCAGGCGGCGACAGTCACAGAAACAAAAACAGGCGCGGTAACAACGAGGAACTGCAGTTCCTTGTCTGCTAAATACGCCGGCTCTCGGCGTCGTCTGCTCATAAGTTGGCGGCAGTTGGCGTCGCGACCGCTTGCGCCATCTCTTGTCTCCCGAGCGAAACGGCGCCGTGTTGTTTGAAGACCAGTGGCGTCGCTGCGTTTTCATAGGAGCTAAGCCTTTTTCTTTCTTTACTTTTT